GTAGGGGAAAATAAGGAGAACGGGAAAATCAGGGAAGCAGGAACGTAGGGAAAACTGAAAAAGAAGGAAAATAGGAGAAGAGTGAAATAAGGGAATCAGGAGAATAGTGAGAAAGAGGGAAAGCAGGAAAAGAGGGGGAAAAGGGAAAATAGGACAATGGTGGGATAAGGGAAGCAGGAGCAGAGGGAAAAGAGGGAAAATAGGGAAATAAGAGGGAATGGAGAAAAAGAGGGAAAATGAGGGGAAAGAGGGAAAACAGTGAAATAAGGGAAGTGGGAACAGAGGGAAAAAGAGGGGAAAAGAGGGAAAATAGAGGGAAAAGTTAAATAGGGGAAGCAGGAGTGTAGTGAAAAATAGGGAAAATGGGGAAATAAGGGAAGCAGGAATGTAGCAAAAAATAGGGAAAACAAGAAAATAGTGAACCAAGGGAAGCAGGAGCAGAGGGGAAAAGAGGGAAAAAGAGGGGAATAGAGGGAAAACAGGAAAGAGTGAAATAAGGGAATCAGGAGCAGAGGGAAAAAGAGGGAAAATAGGGAAAATAGTGAGAATATGGAAATAATGAAATAAGGGAAGCAGGAGCAGAGGGAAAAAAGGGGAAAATAGGGAAATAGTGGAATAAGGGAAGTAGAAGCGTAGTGAAAAATAGGGAAAAATAGCTAAAAATAGCAAGAAAGGAAATAATTGAAATAAGGGAAGCAGGAGCAGAGGGGAAAAGAGGGGAAAAGCGAGAAAGTAGGGAAAAAAGAGTGAAAATAGGGAAAAAGAGTGAAATAAGGGAAGCAGGAGCACAGGGAAAAATAGGGAAAATAATGGGGAAAATAGTGGAATAAGGGGAGCAAGAGGAGGGTGAAAAAGAGGGAAAAGGAGGGAGAACAGTGGAAAATGGAGAAATGAGGGAAGCAGGAGCAGAGGGAAAAATAGGGGGAAAGAGGGAAAATAGTGAAAAATAGTGAAAAAGAGGGAAAAGAGTGGAAAAGAGGGAAAGGAGTGGAAAAGAGGGAAAAGAGTGAAAAAGAGGGAAAAGAGTGAAAAAGAGGGAAAAGAGTGAAAAAGAGGGAAAAAGAGGGGAAAAAGAGGGAAAAAGAGGGAAAAAGAGGGAAAAAGAGGGAAAAAGAGGGAAAAAGAGGGAAAAANAGGGAAAAAGAGGGAAAAAGAGGGAAAAAGAGGGAAAAAGAGGGAAAACAGTGAAAAAGAGGGAAAATAGGGAAATAGTGGAAATAGGAAAATAAGGGAAGCAGGAGAAGAGGGGAAAAATAAGGGGAAAGAGGGAAAATAGTGGGAAAATAGGGAAAAAGAGGGAAAACAGTGAAAAAGAGGGAAAATAGGGAAATAAGGGAAGCAGGAGTGTAGTGAAAAACAGGGAAAAGGGGAAAATAAGGGAAGCAGGAATGTAGCAAAAATAGGGAAAACAAGGACAGAGCAGGAAACAGGAACAGAGTGAAAAAAAAGGGAAGCAAGAGTGGAGCGAAAAAAGAGGGAAAACGGGAAAAGGGTGAAAGGAGGGAGCGAAGAATTCCCGGGAGGAGCATCCCAGATTCCCAGATTCCCGCGGCCCCGCCCACCTGCAATTCCAGCCGCAGAGCGCCAGGATGGAGGCGGGAACGGCGTGTCCCTGCGGGCTTTCCATGGAAAACTTCCCGGGGGGCTTCTCCCCTTCCCGGCCGCATTCCAGCTCGTCCTGGATGAGCTCCAGGAGCCGGCGGATCCGCTCCTCCGACAGCGACTGCGGAGCACGCGCGGGGAATTCCAGGGATTCGCTCCCAGGGAGCGCAGGGAAAGCCCCTTCCCAATCCCTGGAAACGCAGCTTCCAACGGCCCTTTCCCAATCCCTTTCCCAGTCCCTGGAAGTGCGGCTTCCAACGCCCCCCGTGCTGCTTAACCGGGAAAAGGGACGGATTCCTCCCGCCCTGTGTCCCTCTGGATCCACATTCCAGGATTTCTGTTCTGGTTAACAGGGAACAGACTCCCCATTCCATGATTTCTGTTCTGGTTAACAGGGAACAGACTCCCCATTCCATGATTTTTACACTGGCTAACAGGGAACAGACTCCCCATTCCATGATTTCTGCTCTGGGATTATCAGGGAAAAGGATCAGCTTCCTCCTGCCTTGTGTCCCTCTGGATCCACATTCCATGATTTCTGCTCTGGTTATCAGGGAACAGACTCCTCATTCCATGATTTTTACACTGGCTAACAGGGAACAGACTCCCCATTCCATGATTTCTGCTCTGGGATTATCAGGGAAAAGGAACAGCTTCC